TTTCGCACAAATATTTTTTAACTTGAAAATGGTGCCAGGATGACACCGAAACGTCGTTGCTCAGTTTTTCCGCTAATCTTTATTGTTAACTATATCGTCATATGACAAGAAAAATAATCGCAGTTTAATTGCAAAAAGATTTTGTGTGTTTGCCAAATTAAAAGGCAAAATCCTAACCTCTGCGACATCCATACAGCTCCACCCTCATTGAGATGTGCCCATGCCACGCCTGTGGTAAAAAGCGGACGTAGCGTGCTCTGATCGGAGGATTTAGCTCATGGTAGACAACAGTGCTCTGGTCTGCGTTTCCAGCAAAATCCTATATCAGAGAGATCGTAATTTTTTGGAATACATCATTTTAAACATTGCAAACGCCTAAAAATTAGAAATCCATCTTCCACCTTAACTTTGAAAACCTTTTTCCTTCAAAACCTTTTGCCTTAAGAATATTCGCGACCTAAATTAAGGTAGCTAAATTACTCGTTTGGAGCTGAGTTATCCAATCTAGGCTGTTTTACCCGAAGAAAGATTGGGGCAATGCCCCTCTGAAATTGTTTTCTCATTCTAATATGCTATTGTCGTTAACGTTATTGTTGTTGTTATAATATCCTTCTCTTACACCAAAGTTCAAGGTCCTATAAACGTATTCTACCTTGTTTCCAGTTTGTCTTAGCTTTGTATAATAGTGGAATTTCACTCCATCGTTACTGAACTGCAGTTTGTACTTGGTTACCCACTGAGGCGGATCATTTCTACCTTGCGTTGCTACACGTGTCACTTTAGTGTTCGAACAGCCCAGATCAACCTGGAGCCATTGACTGGGATCATTGCTGAGAGCTGACCAAGACCCTGCTTTGTTTCCAGTTGCTTTCAAGTTTAATCTGCCTTGGGTGGCAGCGTGACTGGCATCCAGTTGCGATGAGGCAGTAATCTGTCTGTCAGAGATCTCACCGTTTTCCATGCCGAGATCTTTTTGACATTCTAAATATTTCATGGAATAAATGCATTTTATGGAAAAAATACATTTCAACAGGCCAGGTAACAAAAATGAAAAACAAACGAACAAACAAACAAACAAACAGACAAACAAACTTGGCGTAAACCAGAAGTAATGGAGGAATATGGCCAATCATTTAGAAACCCAGTCATTAAAAAGAATCTAGTGTCTACCTTATTACCTTCATTTTGTTTCCAAGGAATTTGTTTACATGGCTCTTTAGTGAAGGAAACGTCATCAATAGCTAAAAACTGTCTACCATTGAAACCAACGAAATAAATCTATAACAAAATGCAGGAAAAGTAGT